TGGATGCGCTTGCGTTCCCACCGGGTCGTGAGCATGGCTGTCTAGTCCTCCACGTCCTTTCTGTTGCTGTTATTAGTTAAAATCCTGGTCAAGTACTTGTTGTGCAACAGTGGGTGTGGTGGTACGCCTAGGTGAGTGTCCCGCCGTGCCAGCCACTTGAGTCCTCCCTCAACTCCGGTCTCCTTGACTATGTCTTGACACCGAGGCCAGGTGGGGAGGAGGAATGGGCGTGGTGGGCGCTGCGCAAGTCCACTTCCACTTTAAAATAATTCACGCGCAAGTCATCGTGCCTGCTTCACCTTGCTGTGGAGCACACAGTGGACATCGTCGGGCACGATGGCCGAACTGTTGTGTCTGTCTTGACGAAGGAAGATAAGACGAGGAGCGAAAGCCACATTTTTGCAAAGTCCCATGCCACCGTCGTTCTCAGGCTCTTACGGAGTGAGCATGGTTAAAGGGCCGGGCCGACTCAGCCAGGTCTCGAACTGGACCCAGACACGCTGAATGCCGCATCAGAGCTCAATTCCGTTCATCGCGCATGTCCATGGAATAAAACAGAGCCAGACGGTGTGTTCGACAAAATACCTTGCTGTGTTCAATCGCTTTACCACTGTCTCCGCCTTGCAAGATTGGCTCTGGCGTTCGACAGAGGTGCGCTCTTCTGCTATTTTATTTTTCTACGTTTCTGGCCAAATTAACGGAAGGGCTGCGGTTTCAACGGCACCGCATTTACATTAGAACGCCGGCTGAAAAGACTCAACTACGCTGATGACATCGGCCTGCTGATCTACGGAATGCAGTCTCGGATGGGCGGGGTAGTTGAGTAATTTGGCAGCGCGTATACCAAGATGTTACAGGGCCTCACATCTGACCAGATGACGCGCTATGGCCATGAGCTTGCAGAAGCCTAGTTCTATATATTTTGAGTCAAGTTTGCGGCAAACGGATGGGGTAGAAACGATATCGTCGCCCGAATCGACGCTGCTTGGGAGGCCTTTGCAACTCCTCGAAGGTGCCTATGGACCCGTCGTAATAAATCAATCTTCGCAGAGATCCACATCCGCAAGATACTTGTTCAGCCAAACCTCCTTTAGTGGGCTGTGAGCGTTACGGACGAGCTAAAACTGCGAGTCTCCGACCACCTGTCTGAGGACGATAAATTGCGTGAAATACGCATTCTTTGTTTCTAAAGAGACAATACACACTCACTAAGGCAGCATCTGGGGGGATTTATCTCTTTAATTTCTTTCAGAAACGTCTTCAACAAATGTGCCCGCTCCTCGTAAGTGCGTAGCAGCACCTCGTGGCACGCGCAGCCTTGACAGTTGCTCTCTTCGCCTTTGTTATGGGGTTAAATCTTACTTGCGTTGCATCCGAGCTAAACAACTGTCCACATTATCTAGCGATCTTGCCACGATAAACGACAGCGAATAAACGCAGTCGGTCAGCCCAACTAATGTTCTTGCACTTATTATGAACTTGCACATTCCTGATTAGGTCAGCCGATGTCTTCTCTAGTGATGAGGATGGAGTTGTGAAGGGCCGAGTGCCACAGTGTCGAGTCGGATTTCGGACTAACCTTTTTGTCGGCTCCGGCAAGGGACGTTGGCACAGAATTCAAGTGATGGTACGACCAAGAACGTGTCCAAACTATGCCCGTGTACCACAGGATGCAGTCACGTCCCAGCTTCACAAAGCTTATCGGGATTCAAGAAGCAGCATCACACAGCTAGCTAAATACTGGCTAGATTGGCAATGCTTATCATCTGTCCATCGTGTTCACTAGAAGTAAAATACTTCTAAAATACTCCCTGCCTAGTAAGGGGAGTTTCGCTATACTTCAGTCCTAGTAAATATGCTCACTGTGTCGTTTGCTATCTCCGGCCATCTGTTATAATAAGCCTGAGACTGGACCGTCTTCAGCCATCAGACAAGGCAAAAGGCCGTTCAGGGGGATTTAAGTTGGTAGAAGCACCATCCCGAGACCTTAGCGTCCTGTCATGCACATCTGGTAAACGGCAGCCCACGAAATAGTGAAAAAAACTACTTCTTGGCACAAATGGGCTGCAAAGCCTCCGGCCTCCAGCCTCTTCCCCTTCAGGTGTTTCTCCGACACATACTGCTCATTGTCGAAAAGCACCTTGTAGACCAGAAGACGACACCTAGAAGAAGGGCCTGAGGACCTTTTAAAAGGCTGACCCCTACAACTTTAGAGACGGTGCAGGCATGGATTTGCCCTGCCTGGTTCCTCAGGGATCCAGATCCAGCTGCTGAACATAAGGTGTCTGGCATCGGGACTATTGATCACTAAAAGCGCCATAGGAAACAATGGTCCACACCGACACTTGCCAGGATATTCGACACTTTATCCGTCACGAGCGACAGGGCCCAACACCATGAGGGCGCAGTGGTGGCTTGCGCATAAACTAGATTACAGGGAGACTTCCGAATAGTCTACTTCAGCATATCAACGAGTCTTCACACAGACCAGATTTCCACAAAATGGTCTCAGACCTCACGGCGAGACTCGTCGAGAAAGCCGCACTAAGGAGACATTGCAGCATGACCTTCCTTCCGGAGAAGCCACTCAACAGTCCTCCAAACCACATGTTGCGTTGCATACACTCATTCCTTCTTCCCTCTCCCATAGTGCGCCCATGGGGAGTTCGGTCGAGCCAGATAGGAAGGATATCAGGCTCAATGACCGACACGAAAAAGCCTGCATCGACGCGCGACATACGCGCTAGTCCCATCATGTACACGAACCAACCTTAGTCTAACTTAGATCACGAAACTGAGATCCCGCTGAAGCCATATTAAGGAACCATTGCAGTCTTATCCAGTTAGGAATTATCCTGTCAGCTGGCAGCCTTCCAGACCACGCAACAGACCAAAAAGCACGGCGTGAACCGTGCCGACATGACTTTCAAAAATCAGCCTACCAGATACTAGCGAAAACCGTATGACTGGTGGTATGAGCCCCTACGAAATAATGTCAGGTTGTTCTTAGCCCAGACGAGGTTTCTTATCAGATGAGGATCGCGGTCATCAAGTTCTTGATTCCCAACCTCCCCTACCGGCTAGTCCAACTCAGCATAGTGGCCACGTACATGTGCCGACATTTTACGTAGAATAATGTCCGTCTGGTGTCAGGCTGAGGAGAGTCCAATGGTGAAGACGCACCCCGGCCTAGTCAACTAGGAAAAATAATAAAACATTTCAGACATGAGATAACGTTTTTGATCTGGACGAGGAATTGCATGACTCCCGCCGGTCAGGTCAATGTGACGTCCAATTGGTGGTAGGAAACGAAATTTAGCCATAAGGTTCAATAAGTACCGCGTGTACCAAACGCCCAGCCGCCGAGGCCCAAAAGCATGAACAAGCTAGTCGTCCACAGCCACCGACGTCCAAGAAGCATCGCACGACTCAACCGACTGCATTGGTCTGCTCAACCTACAGCTGGTTTCTTATCGCAGATGCCTAGCAAGACAAGATTGTGGACTGCACCCAGAGACAACCTAGAAAGCCCGGTGCTGCGCGTTACTGAGGGCGTAAATAGTAACACGTGCTGTGCCTGGGAGACTGAAAGCATTGACTGCTCGAGTTGAGAAAATGCGACGAAATGTCTCAGTCAATCTGACGCAGAAGACCGGCGAACAGCCCTAACAGAGATCACAAGTATACAGAGGTTCGTTCGAATAAGGACTCCGGCCTAGCCCGAACAATCGACTAGGAAGCTGCGGACCAAACTACTAAAGGCGGACTTTAATTCCTACATATTCGACTGGTCCCTTTGACGCTCTGACCCGTCTAGCCATTGTGCGCAGTAACCCTAATTCGTCCAACTAAATCCTGTGCATCTTCAAAGACAAACGGAGATTCGGAGGGCTGTAAACTACTTTTCACAAGGTCTATTTATTTGGTTTCTTGCCTTTTCACAAAAGTCGTGGTGCGCGAAGTGGGTTGGTTCGGCAGGAGAGGGGTAGTTTCATCCGTACCAAATCTTATGCAATTGTAAAGTCCAAGTCAACCAACTCTACGTGTCTGGACAAATATGAAAGTGCAAGGTCCAAAGCACAGGCAATCCCCAGATAAAAACGATAACAAGAGAACGGACTGAACGCCTGTCGCAGTGCCCCCGACCAAAAACTACAGTGAGAAAATCCCCACGCCCTAGTTAAACATCTCGGAAACCTACGCATTTGGAATGGACAATAGCGAGCTAACCAAGTAGGCCAATTAGGAGCAGTGAATGCACCACCTTGATAAACAAAAAGGTAGGCTGCAAAGACAAATCGACTTTCTTGGGGTGCAGGCGGAGGACGAAATGAGAAAATATGGCAAAATACTGTAGTTTTAAAAGCCTGGAAGTCTGTGTATAGCCGGTGTCTAAAGCCTACAGGTGATAACGCGCCGGTTCCACCGTGCGTGGATAAATGGGCACTGGCTCACATGAGACAGCAGCTGTCGGTAGCAGTTACACCCACCCCAGCCCAGAAAGCAAATACGAAAGGCCCTGTCGGCCGAGCATGACCCCAAAAGAGGGTAGAAGCTGAGGACGAGGCGGAACACCTAGCATCTCCAGAGAACACTTGGAAGCTGAGCACGGCTGTTTAGACCGCTCTGAGAGACCGTCCACTCAAATAGGACATCAGAATGAGGAAAAAGGCTAAATAAACCCCTTATTGAACGGCAGATGGGCGACGGCCACAACATAACGAATCATTTCGGCGACCGTGCCTCAACGATTGCTCGAATATGACTCCATGGATGTCACTGTCCAAGTGAATTCGGAGGCCGAAATGAACAAGGTTCGTGACAAGTTCCGTCAGAATAGACCGCAAGAATTCCGAGCGCAGTCGATAACAACCGCCTTCGGGTACCAACACTAAGATTTTTCCAACGTGCATAACTTATTCAACTTGTAAATGACTAGAGGCTGAAGTAGACAGGCAGGAATCACAGTAAATACCTCAGTATTTTATTCATTAAATAAACTACTTCAACTTCTTCTTGGGGCGCAAGTTGCTGGTGTGACCACATTTTCTCTTCCTGCAGTTCGTCGCACGCGGATGCAGCCTTGCGTAGCACTTACGGCAAATCATCTTGTCACACTTGTACTTCTGGGCCAGAGCTCGCATTGTGGGATCGATGGCACCACCGCGAAGCCGCAGGACCAGGTGCAGGGTCGACTCCTTTTGGATATTATAATCCGAGAGAGTGCGTCCGTCCTCGAGCTGTTTGCCAGCGAAGATTAATCGCTGTTGGTCTGGCGGGATACCCTCCTTATCCTGAATCTTGGCCTTCACATTCTCAATTGAGTCCGAAGGCTCAACTTCGAGGGTGATAGTCTTCCCGGTTAGGGTTTTGACAAATATCTGCATGACGAGCACGAAGGGCGTGCAATCTGTGCAGGGCGCCCGAAACAAGCGGTGCGAATATAAACAAATATTGATATGCAATAGTGCTCGGGTCAACAACAATTGGCAGTAGATGTATTATAAAGAATACGGTCCAGCTGAACAAAGGTCATATTCCCAGTACAACCCTGGGTACGAACAGTCGTTTTCTTACTAGATAAGGAGGTCCAAGACTTAGTACATTTTACTCCCCTTGGACAAGTTGGAAAATGCCCTAATATAACTGCAGTTGCCCGGATATTTTCGTCCATTTTCGGAAACTAATCCTTCACTAAAATGTTGTCAAAGTTTGTGTCGAAGAGTACTCAGTAGTCATCTTTGGGCTGTGGTACTTTGATGCCGGTGGAAAAAAATAGATAGCGGTCTTTGGAAAAAATCAAATGCAGTTATCCACAGACAAAAACAATCAAGGAAAGGTGCAAAGGATCAAACTTTACGGCTGTACATACAATAAATGCTGGGAATAAGAAAAATCAAGTGCATGGCAATAATCTCAAAATGCATAGGAAATGCAATTGAATTAGGTATGTTCGACCGTCGTTTCCGACAATGTCCACCGTGCGCCCCACAACAAAGTGAGAGCAGAGACGATGACTTGTGCGTAAATTAGTTAATAGTGATAATAGACCTGCTTTGCGTCTATCATACTCTCTCCTCCTCTCCCATCTGGACCCGGTGTCAAGGTAGAGTCAAGAACACCGGGGGCGGCGAAGGGCGCAGGTGGCTGGCACGGCCGGACCCGCATCTAGGCATGCCACTTCACTCCCTGGTCCACACAGCAAATGACAAGGCTTTTGATCAACAACAACAGCAGCAGCAGCAGCAGCAACAACAACAACAACACCCCAACAGGGGTCAAAAGGACGATGACGACTGGGCAGGCATGCCCATCACCTGTATACCCAGCGGGAGCATAAGCGCATCTATCGACAGATAACCAGGTTTCAGCGCATTTCAGGCTGTGAGGGTCACAGGTTTTCTGATACTGACATAGCATACGCTTTCAGGCCATTTGACGTAGACGAGCGAAACGTGGGCTTGCATTTAGGAATAGGTTTATTGTGTATTGTTATTTGAAAGGAATTTCTTAGTTTTTATTTTAAACTCGATTAGGGTTCGACTTTTCCGGATATAACCTGGAAAAGAATTTCAGATAGTCGCGTATCTTATGGAGTAGAAATTTGGCCGTTGGGACTTTGTGAATTTGGGAGCCTGGGCCGTCACCCTTCAGGGTTAGGTAGCCAAACGGTCGTCAATTGACAGCCAATACCCGTAAAGCACAAACACTTTCCCCACATACATGAGTGTCACGGATCGCTTGAGAAAGGGCAGCGACATCTTGGCTCTCAGCGTAAAAGTCCGCCGCCTTACACAAACACACGCGCAACTGGGCAGACTGCATGCACTGAGTTGGTGCGGCGGTTGGCAGCCTTTCAAGCCACGGCGCTCGACGTAGTGTCAGATGTTGATCACACATACAGCATATGAACCGTATGCAAACGGAGCCGAGACGCACATTTCCTGTTTGAGTGGGAGGTGGCAGCTGGGTACTTGCGGTTGATGATAGTGTGCGGTGAGATGCTGGCAAGGGAGGATGTGATGGTGTAGAGCAGCCGGCGGTCGGCTTCCGCATGTTTTCGTGGACGCGCATGTGGCCTAATAGATCCATGTGGTGATGGCGGTATGCTCGCTAGACGATGGGGTGTGCGTTGGGCTGAGCATGATAGGTGTGCTGGATGGACTAAGTGTGGTGGGGATGCTGGTGTTGGGCGCGCAGGGCGGCGGAGTGAGGAGGGAGCTAGGCATGGTAGGCGTGAGGTATATGTCGCGTCTGTTGGGATTGCTGTCAGTTCCGCTCTCGTAGATACGCATGTGGACGAGTAGACCCATGCGGTACATGAATGTGTTAGGGCAGCGTGCACAGTGGAGGCAGATGTAGCGGGTGTAATTTGGTGCATCAGGCACTGGTTCTCCCGTCTCTATGCGATAAATTCGCAAATGAACGACCAGGGCGATGTGTGAGGTTAATGCGGGACCACAATGCAAACAGATATAATTCAGTACCTGTAAGGGAGATAGGCATAATCTTTGAAAATCCTATTTACAGATATAGGCTGAAAAACATACAAATGTTCACGTAGATACACGGACAAATTTTATCAGTTCGTATCAAGTAGATACATGTCCATCATATAAAATGCCATCTAGTCTTTGTTTAAATGTCTCAACGCCTTCCACCGGAACAATTGAATCAGGTTGTTTGTTCCGATGCTCAAACACCCGGTGTGAGAAGAAATTCGTCCGCAATTCAAGCTTGGCGTAATTTGTCTTCACTCTATATCTGTGACCTCGGAGATTTGTCGTTTGTGATAGTTCGAAAAAATCGGCCAATTTGAGTGCGCAGTCTACTCTGACTAGTTTGAAGACCACGATCATGTCCCCTCTGTACTGGCTATAATAGAGAGGGAAAAGTTTGAGCCTTTTTGGTCGTTCCTCATAAGGTAGGCTCTTCAGTTCGCCGAGTATAATTCAGTATATATGAGGGATAGAGGCAGAGCCTTGGAAAAAAACATTCAGATATTTACATAGCAGTTATGCCAGTCACTGATATCATGTAAATGTTTGACCATCAAGCATAAATGTATCTACTCTTCATTTGAAGGTCTCAACGTTTTCCGCTAAAACAACCAAGTTCGGCAATTTGTTCCATCCCTCAATCAGCCGATGGGAGAAGAATTTGGCCCACATTTCGAGTTTGGCATATTACAGCTTCAATTTGTATTGGTGCCCTCGAAGATTTGTCGTCCGCGCCAGTTCGAAGAAATCGTCAAACTGTAGAGCACAGTTTAGCCCTTGGACGATCCTGAAGGCCATGATCATATCCCCTCTGCATTGTCTATAAGAGTGACGAAATATAAGAAAGAGGAAATAGTTTTAGCTTTTCCAGACGTCTTTCATAAGGTAAGCTACTTAATCCTCCGACTAGCTTGGTCGCTCTTCGTTGTACGTTCGCCAGTAGGGTGTAATGTTGTTTCATCCAGGGACACCATGCCTGAACACAGTTTTCCAACAATGGTGGAACGTATACTCCAAATACTCGTCAAAATTGAGAAAGGATGTTCTAATCGCGCCTAGGATACCCATAGCTTTCTTTAATGCCTTGGCGCAGTGAGACGATGGTTTGAGAGTTGACTTCATCCACACACCGAGGTCTCTTAACTCGTTGACTGATTCGAGTTGGTGAACTCCTATAAAGTACTTAGATTCAAATCTCAACGGCCTCCTGTTGCTCGAACGTAATCGGATATGTTGGCAATTGTTACGATTGAGACTACGGCACCACTCATCACGCAATTTTTACAAGCGATTCAGATTGTCTTGTAACTGTACAGAGTCTTCCGACTTCTCTGTTGATTTCCAAAATTTGAGATCATCCACAAACATTACGCGCCCGCAGTTCAGACAGTCCAGGAAGTCGTTCACATATATTAAGAACAGAATTGTACACAGAACGCTCCCCTGCTTAACGCCACTATGCGCGGGTGCCCATTCCGATTTGCATTTCCGATACACACACGCTGAGATATGCCCGTAAGAAAATCGGCCAACCATTTCAACAGAGTTCCATTCACACCCACTTGATGCAGGTTAAATATAAGACGCCTGTGTGGAACACTGTCAAAAGCCTTTCTGAATTCAATGTACACGGCGTCGACTGGTAAGCCTATGTCGATTGATTTCGTCCAGCTCTCCAGTGAAACTGGCAGGTTAGTGAGAGAGGATTGACTCCTTCGAAATTCATGCTGATGCATACTGTGCAAGTTGTTTTCTTCAAGATGCCGCATCAGTTCCGTTTTTATCACCTCTTCCATTAGCTTGCAACAAATGCTTGTGAGACTCACTGGTCTGAAACTATTTGGGGCTGTTCTCTCGCCATCATTATATATGGGGCTTATATTTGCTTTCTTCCAGTCGGTAGGCAGAGCCCCGGTCTCCATCGAAGTTCGGAAGATCCTGGATAACGGACAGGCCGGTTGGCCTGAGAGTTCATTCAGGACTTTTGCGAGCACGCCGTTCAGACCAGGGGATTTAGTGGGCTGTAGTTGACTCAAAGTCTTCCTTACCGTGTCTGTTGTGAAGTCCACCGTGCTAATTGAATCCTCTGATTTAACAATTGGGGGGTAAACTCTTTCATCAAAAGCCGGCTCCTCGGTAAACACGGACGTGACGAAATCGGACAACAGGTTCGCCTTATCTGAATTGTCAGAAAACGTATTTTCCCGGCGATCTTTTAGGCAGGGAATTCAGTCCCGGTTGCGTGTCGCCTTATTCAAGTATCCAAAGAATTTTTGGAATTTTGCGGGATACTTTTTTAGAAGTTTAGACTCAAATTGTGCCCGTTCCCTCCTCAACAGATTCCGACATACATTCCTCTGTTTTTTGAAGTCAGCAAAATGCTCTGTTTGCTGACATTTGGCGTACTTTTTCCAAAGTCTCCTTTTTAATTTAAGGTTCTTCTTTATTTCTGACGTCACCCTCTCTGGTCGGGATGTGCATAGCTTCCTCTTCAGTGGGCAACAGCTCTGTACCAAGTGTTGCATTATGTTCTTGAAGAAGAGCCAATTGCTTTCTGAGTCAGGTCCTTGTGCTGAATTCCAGTTCATCTTCTGTAGCAGATTTTTCATTCGGCGATAATCCCCTTTCCATACATTTTTTTCTCAGCTGCTCGAATTTCGGGTACAGAAAAATGGCTATACCCCAAACAAGAACGCAGTGGTCACTTCGGCCAAGGGGCGTGTGCGATTCCAAACCGTGTATGCAACTATCATGCCTAGTGATAATGAGATCCAAACAACTGGACTGCTGTCCTTTTCTGAATCGAGTGTCCACTTTAACATGTTGGGTAAGGAACTCATGTGTGATCAGTTGAATAAATTTCTGTTCGGAGGAATTTTCTGATCGCG